AAAATGACAAACATCACAATGCTTCACTGTCTCATGCTTAACTAAGGGATTATAATGTTCTAATAGCTTAATCTTCTTTGAACTGGGATGCCCTAAACGCGAATGCCATAAATTGATCTTCTGAGGATGGAAATTGTAAAATGAAGCTAGTGAAGGTGTGAGTTGTGTCTCTGGGTTGGACATTAGATGGTATAAAACCTTACTTTGTTTTGTCAATCCAATCATCTTGTTGGTTACTAGGTCCCGAACAACACAAGAATCAGACTGAAAGGTAAGGGAAACTAGTAATTCATGTGTCAATCTACTAACTGACACAAGGTTAAAGGGGAAACTGGGAATCAACAGTACATTGGTCAAAGATATCCCTGAAGCTAACCTAACTAGGCCAATGTGAGTGACTATGACTTTGCTATTGTTTGGTAAGAAAACTGACACACCATAAATAAGCTTGCAAGTGGTGAAAAAATTCTTAGAACAAATAATGTGATCTGAAGCACTTGTGTCTAAAATCCATGTTTGAACTAGGGAGGCTGAATGACACTGAAGATATTAGGTTAAGACATATTTACCAACTAAATTTGGGAACTGTGGCATCTGTTGTGCAATTGAGAAGGTTGCATGACCAATACTTGGTGAATGAGGAGGTGATGGTGAGGGAGAGGGTGAAGTAGTCACCCGTTGAAGTAGAATCCCGAGCCTGTTCATCTCCTCCCCAGTCAATTGAAGATTCATCATGTTGCCTAATCCACTTCCTCCATAGTTCATGCTTCCAGTCCCATTGCTAGATTGAGAATCAATGACTCCATTTGTTGACTCATTCACTGCCCCAGCAAAATGATTTCCAACACCTTTTTACTTGTTCTTCCTCTTCAATTCCCAACAATCTGTTATGTTATGATTTGTTTTCTTGCAATATCTGCAAAAGAGTCCTGTTTCACTTGCCTCTGCATTGCCTTATTTGGTGCTTGTCTGCCAGCACTGTTATCACTGCCTTGACCAGCGCTGTTATCATTGCCTTATTTGGTTCTACCTTTGTCTAACTTGAGTTTTTATTCATTTAGGAGCAAATCCCCATATGCTGCTACAACCGTGAGAAGGGACGTCATCATCAAGAGTTGGGTTTTGACCACATCAAAGGCAGGGTTCACTCCTCTAAGAAACCTAACAAGATAATCAGTTTCGTGTTTGGCCTTAAAGGCTTCAACAGCATGACAAGGTAAGACTTGTCTTGGTGCACAGGTACATGGAACAATTGGGTTAAATTTCGAATATTCTTCCCATAATCCCTTCATCAACGTAAAATACTTGGTAATGGTCATGTTTCCTTGCTTACGAGCATGAATATCATCCTCTAGATTTGTCAATTTAATAGCATTAGCTTGACCAAACCTATCTCTCAGCTCTTCCCACAGATTCTGAGCTACTTCATGACACTGCACACTATGTTTGATATCCTTATGCAAAGAATTGATAATCCAACAAAGCACAACAGTGTTACAGGAATCCCATGCTCCATACCCATTAGGAATAGTTTTGGGATATGGGATTTCAACAGATCCATCGAAAAACCCAAGTTTGTACTTGGTTTTCAGAGTAATGGAACGACGACGTTGTCGTAAATGCCACTTTAGTTCCAAAAATTCATTCTTCTCCACTTCAGTCCTTCGTGCTGATGCTGGAGAATGGAGTGAATCCTTGCTTCATCAAGATTGATGTGGATGACTGCAGTGGCTGCTGCTCTTCTGGTATCAGCTCCTTGCTGGTCCTGCAATAGATTACGTCGATATTACATTGCTTTCACACATACATAGCCGAGCCAAAACTAGAAACAAGGAAATTAAAAAAAAATATACTCAAAGGGATTTGAACTATGACAATTTAGAGAGGTAAACTCTTATCAACCATATTATTTCCAAATTTATTATGAAACTTAAATATAATTTAACCAATTTTCACTATTAGAAAAATTGATTTCATCCCATGATAAAATCTACACTAATAATCGCAGTAAAAAGTCTTGCAATTAGTTGTAAAAATCAAGTCAAAAGAAATTGGTTTGGATGCTTTTTAGTACTCATTTCTTGTGATTAATGATTAGTCAACTTAGCCCGTCAGTTGGCACTGTCTTGGTGTGCTCCGAAATTAGGAGGAAGTGTAGTCTTTTTACTAGTTTTCTTAATCGGCTTTTATGTTCACCATTGCTTTCACACATACAGTAGCGGAGCTAGAAATATAAACAAGGTGATGAAAAAGTTTATGCTCAAGCGATTTGAACTCTGACAATTTAGAGAGCTAAAATCTAATCAACCATATTATTTTCACATTTATTATGAAACTTAAATATAATTTCACCTATTTTTCACTATAGAAAAATTGATATCTTTTCTCTGATAAAATCTACACTATTGATCATGGTTAAAAGCCTTGTCATTAGTTGTAAAATTCTAGTGATCTAGTCACAAGAATTGATTCATATGCTTTTTAGTACTCATTTCTTGTAATTAATGATTATTCGGCTCAGCCCACTAGTTGGCACTATCCAGTGTCTACTGGAGGGATAATGACTTTGAACACCCTCTTGTTCAAGGTCTGCTTCGAAATTTGGAGAAAGTATCATATTATGTCATCATACAAGACTAATTCTGCCAGTTAAAATTTGAAATTCGATAGTTTAAGACTATTTTAGAATTGTGTGCATTATATATAATTTTTTTAGTGCACAAAAAAGGAATTATGTATATAAAAGAAACCTACAGTTGTGATCGGAACACACTAACATAAAAAATTCTATCTTCTTCTTGCCATCGAGAAGTTAAGAAATCTCTCATTTATGAACTAAGAAGGCTTGATCAGGTATAAGACAACACTTGTGATATGGATAAGAAAACACATGATTGCACAAAAATCATTCAAGATTTACTTTGATTTAATTTGAAAGTTTTACAGTTTAGCGATTTAGGGTTTATATATTGGGTTTTTGGATAAGTGTTCACTACTGAAAGTTTAGGGGGTAGGGTGATGGATTTATTAGTTTTGATCCTATGTTATATCATGAGAATAATACTACCAACTAAAATATGAAATTTGACGTCTTACGACTACTTTTCGACAATGCACTCATTTTTGTGAGTGCGTCGAAAAAGCCACTATATATAGATATATATGGATGCTTCTATTGTACCTTGGGTAAAATAAAAGGTATGGCATACCTGGATTAAGAAAATGATGTCTGGAGGTTGAATTGAACGGAGTTTGTGACTTGGTATTGTACCTTGACCCTTAAAGAGTAATATCTAGATCTTTATTCTACAAATTCCATTCACTAAGATCAATAAATTACGAACAATAATTGACGGTCATGTTTCATATATAAAAATTATATGCAAAATCTTATGATTAAGGGTTTGCAATTTATATAGAAAAAACCTAGGGTTCACTCATCCAGGTTTAGGGTATAGTATATCATATGACCAAAGGCGATGATTTATGCAAAAAGCCATAGACGAAAACTTAGCGAACAATATCTAAACACAAAGGTTGTAGAATGGATAGTGGGTAAGAAAATGACTTGTAACTTCCCCACTTGCACTTGGAGGAGTGTGAGAGTTACTAATGAATAGTAACTCATACCTTGGGTAAAATAAAAGGTATGGCATACCTTGATTAAGAAAATGATGTCTGGAGGTTGAATTGAACGGAGTTTGTGACTTGGTATTGTACCCTGACCCTTAAAGAGTAAAATCTAGTTCTACAAATTCCATTCACTAAGATCAATTAATTACGAACAATAATTGACGGTCATGTTTCATGTATAAAAATTATATGCAAAATCTTATGATTAAGGGTTTGCAATTTATATAGAAAAAACCTAGGGTTCACTCATCCAGGTTTAGGGTATAGTATATCATATGACCAAAGGCGATGATTTGTGCATAAAGCCATAGACGAAAACCTAGTGAACAATAACTAAACACAAAGGTTGTAGAATGGAGAGTGGGGTAAGAAAAAAACTTGTAACTTCCCCACTTGCACTTGCAGGAGTGTGATAGTCACTAATAAATAGTAACTCAAACCTAGGCTTTTATATATTAATCATATGACCAAAAATCCAGTTCATTCGGGGTTTAGATATGATTTTGTCACTAAAGATATGTGATACCTTCAATTTTACTCAAGATACGCTCGAATATACCATATATGCATGTATGGTTCTATCGTTAAAGCAGGTTGCGGTCCGAACACAGTAACACCAAAAACACTCTCTTCTTCTTGTCACCAAGAAGTTAAGTAATCTCTAGTATAGGAGCTAAGAAGGCCTGATCAAGTATATGATCGCAAAACCTTACAAATTGTGTTCTAGAATATATAATCAAGTTACAGATTCTGTTTTACATTCTACATCAAGTTTATGACGGGCAAAAAACATGAATTCATCATTTATTTGTCGAGAATTATTTAGTCTTAATAATTCGAGGGGAAATATTTAATTATGAATTTTGTACAATAATGAGGTGTTTATAGACTATAGAGGATATTCTTTTAACAATTTGGGACCACAAAGAACGGCCCATACTTCCTGTCACTTACCCAAAAATCTCAATTTGGGTATTGTACGTTTTGCTGTACATCATAATAAAAAATTACTAAACATTTGTATTTTGTATTCCTCTTGGCCCATCGTAAACAAGTTTCCAGTCCGTATTGCAAAGAATCATTGGACGACAATATCGAAGTCGAACTGATGGTGTCGTGCTCTGATTTTGCAAGTGTAGGACTGTAACTTGGCAGGCCGAGAAGGATAAGATGGCCGGACGAAGATCATATTTGGAACATCTCCGGTCAAATAAGGCAAGACTGATTGACCCTTTCAAGTTTCAACACCTTGGGTATATAGCTATTTATATAGTACTAATTCTGACTAACGAGTCGACGACCCATATTAATCATTCTCGTAAACTTAGCTAGGTCATCATTCGCCGGCCAGCAAAACCAAAAACGTTATGTCGTCTTTTTCGCTGTCGATTCAGTCAGCTGCTCATCTTCCGGCAAGGCGTGATAGGGCAATCACTCAAGCAGTGGGTCGACCGTCAGAGAGCTTCCATCCCACACTGTGGAGCGATCGCTTCATCGACAAAGGTGATCTCTCGCTCCAGGTAAATATGGATATTATATGATGAATATTTCATTCATATACAAGATGATGATATTTAAGTTATCTAGTGGTTTTGAACGTGCTCGTCGTTTGATATCATATGAAGAAGTTATGTTTATTAAAAGTATATCGAATATGTGCTTCGCAACACATTCTTGATTGGATTGCATATGATTCAAGGACAAAAATAAATATGTTCATTTAAATAAAATGAGTTATTAAGACTAGACCAGATATTCTTGACAAGAGACATTAAAACAATAATTTTTTTAAATAATGTGTAACAAATTATGAGTTCTAATAGCTTGAGTCGCTCACAAGGAGTTATTTATTTCGGCCATAGAAAAATGTGCATTTTTTCAACTCTTATGGTTGTGTGCGCATACTTAATTTTTTCTTTTAACTATTTGTGTAGATCATCAAACAAAGACATCCCAAATATGAAGTTCTCAAGGAGGAGGTGAGGAAGATGGTGATAGATGGGGCTGAAAGTGAAACTGATGAGAAGGCAGTAATTGCCGATAAGTTGCGGCTAATAGATACTGTCCAACGTTTAGAAATTGGGTATCATTTTGAAGCAGAAATAGAAGAAGCACTTGAAAGAGTGCACGCTTTTGGAGATGACTTATTTATCAATATTGATGACAACAATACTACTGATCTCTACCATGCAACTCTTCGATTTCGACTCCTTAGACAACAAGGCTTTCCAGTTTCTTTAGGTAAAAGTATATATTATTCGAATAAGTTTTAAAGAGTTCATTTAATTAATAGCTAATAATAATAATAATTTCCTTTCTCATGTATATATATGTTAACTATACATGGAAAATCAATGTAGATGGGTTTAGGAAGTTAAAGGACAGTGAAGGAAGGTTCAAGGAACAATTGGCCGCAAATGAGCAAGGGCTATTGAGCTTGTACGAGGCAACTCACTTGGCGTTCAATGGAGAAATCATATTGGATGAAACCTTGACCTTTACGACCAAGACCCTCAGGTCGATCCTCTCACAAAATACCATCAACCATTCATTTCGAAAGCAAATCGATTTTGCCCTTCGCTTTCCTATTTGGAAATGCATTCCAAGGTTGCTTACTAGGCATTACATTCTACTTGGAGGACCCTTCCCACGATGAGACACTCCTCGCATTTGCAAAGTTGGATTTCAACATAGTCCAAAAATTACATCAACAAGAGCTCTGTGAAATCACTAAGTGAGTGTGATTTCATAGTACAAATATTATTTCGTTTTCTATACTAATAAGCTGAAGTGGTGGATTTGTTTTTTTTAATGTTTGTATATACATATATAGTTGGTGGAGAAGTCTTGGAGTAGGCACCAACTTTCCATATGCAAGAGACAGAGTTGTGGAGTGTTATTTCGGTATGAATGTTGTTTACTTTGAGCCCAAGTATCGACTCGCAAGGATGATACTCAACAAGATATCTTGAACTTTGTCACTTATTGACGATACTTATGATAACTATGCTACATATGAAGAGCTTCATATGCTCACAGAAGCTATTGAAAGGTTGTTACCACTTGCATTAATTGACATGTTAATTTTATGCAATGCCTAACTTCCCTTTTATATGTACACACACATGCGCTTTTTTCCAGGTTAGATATTAAGGCTCTCAAATTACTACCTGACTCGATGAAGGATATTTACCGTGTCATCATTAATACGTACGATGAAATCGAGATGGAACTTGAAAAAACTGGATCCGCCTTTGGTGCTGATTATGCTAAGGCAGAGGTAATCTATTAAGTGAGTGGGTGATATCTACTGGTGAATTTGAATCACTTGGTAGCACAGTGGAATCGAAACGATTACAGTGACCATGATTTACTAATTACTTTGTTTTTCTATTATCACATTGTCTATATATGTAGCTAAAACGAATGTGTCGATCCTACTTCGTTGAGGTAGGATGGCGTACTGAAGGATACGTTCCAACAGTGGAGGAGTATAAGACAGATGGATATATCACTGGCAGTTCTCTCAGTGTTCCCACATCTGCTTTACTTGGGATGGGAGCAGAAATAGCAACAAGAGAGGCTTTTGAATGCCTTACTAACGAACCTATGGTGGTAAGAGCTCTCGGTGCTATTACTAGGCTCCAAAATGACATTGTCTCTCACGAGGTAACCATCTCTTTATGTAGTTCATCTAGTTTGTTTCAAGGAAAAAATAAACAAGCATAACATCATATTGTGGGTTTTGCGCTGTGTGTTCATTCTCAGTTGGAACGAAAGAGGGAGCATGTGGCTTCAGCAGTGGACTCCTATATGAAGGAGCAAGCATCATCAGAGGAGGAAGCAATCGAATTCTTTTGGAAGGAGATTTCTAGAGGTTGGAAAGACATTACTGCAAAGTTTGCAAAACCAACTCCGGTGCATGTAGCTCTGATAGAACGTCTTCTCAACTACGCACGTTTTTTCATGTGTTATACGAGAAGGGTGATGGCTACACGAACACTCACCTTTTAAAAGCACATATTGTTTCACTAGATGGTGGCCCGCCCGTTGGCCGGATGCATTTTATCGATTGTGAAAACAAAAATAGCAGTAATACAAAGTAAGATACGTTTTTGGTCGATACTATAAAGGAGTTTAAAATATTAGATTATTGGAAAAACATGCATTAGAGAGTTCTCTAATATCGTAACTTATTCAAATATGAAAGCCCTCACCTATAATATTCACTCCTTCAAATCTTAATCAAATCATACTTTGATTTACTCCTAGCCGTCAGAGATTGTTGCACATTTTATTTTGGACTTCTTTGCAATTGCTTTGCAAATGACTGTATCATAATTTTTACTAATAAGTAATAACAACACCTTCATCTCCATTAATAAAACATATATCCTTGCCATAAGTGATATTTTATTTCTTCTCTCCTATTTCATTGAAAGCAAATATCTAGTGGTAAAATGTTTGCAAATATGACATAATTTTCAATAGAATATCTTGCCCAAACCATGAATATTGTCAAAGATTTGCTCTTTTCCCATATCTGAAACTTTTATCTACACCTTCAATAGTCTCGTCTTCTCAACATTGCTATTAGCTACATCACGGGGTTCAGTATATCAACCATTAGTTTACTTTTTCTTCTTCTCTTGTATTTCATCGAATGCAAATAATTAACGATAAATGTTTTCAAATATTAAATATTACATCGTCCAAGTCTTGAATATTGACAAAAGATTTTCTCTTTCTCATCCTTCTATACCTTCAAAATTTTGTATTCACTTATGAGATTCAAGATTTTGTAATTTGCTAGTGAGCTTGGTGTTGAACTTTAACTTTATTCCCTCAAATTGTAGGAGATGAGGAGGTGGATGTCTTCCTCATTATGTCACTATTTTGAAATAGTTTGCCAATATAAAATCCAAAATATTTATGTCCCTCATGATGCATATGTGACAACAGATTCAACGAATTTGTTCACAACGTGAAGTTGGATAAAAGTCTAATATCAATCTTCCAACACAAAGTTTTTCGTATAAAAAACACCAATCTATAGCATATAGGCAAACCACAAATTATCCACACAAATTGTTCAACATTAAAGTAAACATCCATAAACAACATAATTAATTGAAAGCTTCTTCCTCCTTGTCAACTAAACTTCTTCACTTCATAATATCAACTTCAATCTACACAATTAGGAAGAACAAATTAGACAGGTATGGGTTGAAAACGGGTTGGATATGGCTATACTCGAACCCAACGCAACCCACAAAATAGTAGAACGGGTTTAAACCCGACCCGTAATCCGCCAACACAAATTTTACCAACTTTGACCGAATTGAATCGAATAGGATATCCGTGGATTGGGTTATGTTGTCATCCCTAACCGAAAGTAAGCAACTAAGGATATGGGATGGATGCAGGTTATTATGTGGGTTACCAACAAAACACGATCTCTTTGCATAAATCATAGTACGTGAGAACCTAATCATGAAAGCAGATATCTCTTGTCTCTCCATATTTTTTGTTAATTTTCCTTATCATATTCCAAACCGCAGAATTCCCAGCTAGTCCTGTATATAGTTTCATTTTGGGTGTCATTTTATTATACATTGTATGAGTTAGTTTCATTGCTAAGATTTCATTCAATTGATGGAAAATCTAAAATTCAAGTTAACATTAATGAGATATTGCCACTTGAATTAATAAGAGAATTATATATGGGTATAAATTATGGATAATATAATAATTACTATGATTGTTATAATTATTTTTATTGTTAGATTACTTAAGAAAACCATACAGAAAAAGCCAAATTCTCATTAATTTGATGGGATTCATTTTTGGATTGGCTGGCCACATATACTATATACATACACAGCTCAAGAAGCGTGTTTCTCATGAATAAAGAGAAAAACAAAACGACAAAACTATCCTTCCTTAGTATGCGCAGGAGGTAGAAAAACGGGAATGAGATGGGTGTTGGAGGAGAACCTCTATATATGACTAGCTTATAACCCGGCCCTTTGGCCGGAATGCTCATATTTGATTATTTGTATTTTTATGTTACTTTTAAGTCTATTAACCCGTTTAATCTTATTGATAATCATTCGATCGAGTTGATACATAAAGAAATAATATATAGGTCGAACATTCGGAGAATATCATAATCATTTAAGAATATAAAATATAAAAATGTATCATTGACCCCATTTTCATAATGCTAATTAAGTCCCTGTTAAAATGCTATTGGTTAGTTTTCTTTGACAGTCAAGAAATATAGAGTATAAAAGCTCACTGAAATTCTCACACAACCCATAGATAGTTTGAAACTAAATCTTAAACCTCACAATCCTATATAAAGGGTTCAATGCTCTCCTTTTAGAAACAATATGTCACTAATAAAAAAAAATGGAGAGTTGTTGATTCAAGTCATCTATATACTAAAAACTCAGCTAAAAGGGGATTATCACAACTTGAGAGCAAACGAAAAAATCAGGGTTATCTCCAATATACGAATATACTCGATCAAAGTAATAAGGCGCAAAATTAGACACTCCTTATCTATTAGTTCCAGTAGGTTGAATAAAGAAGCGACCTATTTCAAAAAATCAATCAATGATTCCTCGTTTTAAGATAGAAATAGGTTATGACAGTTGCAAAAACCGTAAACCTAAATATCCAATAGCCACCACTCTCCATTGTACAACCAAATTTCTATCTCAAGAGGCATATATTCAACCAAAAATTCAATTTCTAATCTTCCTTCTACAACTTCAGTTATTGATGTACTTTATTCTATTCGCCATGAATTGATATCGGAGTTGAAATCTCCTACTCGCCCATCTTAAAATCCCCAACAATAAAACCGTAGTGCCAAGAGATACCTGAAGATTGATTTTCAATGACAGTCTTGTACTGGGAAGTGAAAGGCGCAAACTATTGCACGATGGATGAAATTTCGGGGGAAGTTAGAAGGAGAAAAGAACAAAGATAAAAAAAAACATAAAATTTAAATTTAAATTGAAAAATGCAAGGATACAACAGTTGTTACATAATCAGTTTCTTCCATGTTGGCCAATTACCCATTTACCTTTAGCAAAAATTAAGGAGAGAGCGGGAATTTAAAAGTGAGAAAATATGAAAATAGAAGTATCAAGCTCGATAAAAATACATACGGTAGACTTAGTGAGCTTGCTAATTATGATGAAAAAGTCCTCTGATTTTCAGAGATTAACTTTGTCTATTTTTTGTATAAAAAAGGATGCAATAAATTTGTTAAGTGTAACTGGTTGTGATTGTTATCTTTGTTTGAAGAGACCCGGGTTCAAATCTTGATATTGCTATTTTTATATGAAATAAATAATAAATGTGTAAAGACAAAAATGACCTTCCTACTTTCACTCTCGTTGCAGGAAATTTGAAATGGAGAAAAGTACTCAAAACTCTACCATATATTAATGGAGGATTGTTCGTTGATGTCGTGCATCTTTGAAACAAAGTTAATAACAAACGATTCCGTGTAAACAGATAAAAAAAATATCCTTACTTACTTTTCAGATTTCTTCGGTTTTCGAAGGTCTTTGACTCAGTTGTGTTTGGGTTGGTTGTGACTTTGTTTATTCGTAACATTGCAAACCGTTTCCTTCTTTCTTTTAATAAAGACGGAATGGTGACCCCACGACTTGTCATGGGCAGAGATGACCCGTTATGATGTTTTGTTAGTATTATTAGTCTAAAATTAATTTTTTGTTAGCAATTTTGTTAATAATATTGATTTCACAATATGATATTTTGACTGAGAATTTTGAAACTTTTGGCTAATAAATGATATTTGCCTAAACCCAAATAGATTCATTGATTATGGTAGGGTATGGGTGACATATATATGGGTTTGTAAGTTTGTAGATGGGTTTGGGTATGGATATTTACTTTCATAATCTAAATGTGTATGAGTTTGGTATGAATACTCATTTATTCGAAGGTGTTTTAATTACACATACAAAAATTAGACCTATTTGTAGAACTTCAAAAGTTCAAGTACTAAGATGTATAAACAAAAATTTAGGTACTAAAATGTAATGTTCCATAAATATTTTGAGGACTTATAGGCCAAAAAAAATAAATTTATCTTATAAATCTAAAGATCTATTAAGTTTAGTTACCCCATTGTAATTTGCGTAGTTGAGGCATAATTCCTTTATGGTGATGTATTTAAGTTGATAATTATTTACCTTCTTTTAGAAAATAGAAAACTATTTATTTGATATGTATAACTGGTGAAAATTCTAGCCCGGTGAAAAAGAAAAACTCTAGAGAGAAGCAAAAGGAATACAAACTGGAACTCGCTTAAAATTTCATGCCTTTAAATCTCAAAGAGGAAAATGACGACTTTCTAATAAGTGATAACCATATATAATTATTTTTAATTGGACTTGACATTGAGCTGAAAAAGAAGAAGGCAAAGAAAGAAATAAAGAAAAGGTTATGGTAGGCGAGTGAAAAATGAAACGAAGGGGAAGTAAATGATGAAAAGGTTTTGACCAATTTTTTTAGTTGGCCGTCAATACAACAGTCAACTCTTTTCACCTAGCAATTTATTGACACTTGGTTATATAGATGGCGCATATTTTGTTACATGTAGTTAGTAGAAGTTTGTTTAGTACCCCGTTAATGTACTAAATGAGTTTATAATTTCGCTTTTGTAATATTTTAGAATCGTCTATCTTTTATCATTTTTTTTAATGTTTCATGTAAATTGTTAGGCAACAGTAACCTAACTTCATCTTTATATATACTAATTTAGTTAAATTTAGAGTATCAAAATGTGAATGGTTAGGCAACAATAACCTAACTTCATCTTTATGTGGTTATGGTGGCTGATTCCAAGCCACCAGGGGTCGTATGAATGCTATTGTGTGGAACTGTAGGGGATTCGGGCAGACCCCACAGTTCGTCAACTGAGGAAGTTGGTAAAGAAACACCGATCTCTCCTATTTCTGTCCGAGACA